GGCACTTTAATTAATGTTTAAAATATCATTTTTTATTGAGTTTATTACTTATTTGTAAATTTTACTTAACATAATTAAACAGATGGTTTAGATTAAAAATAAATAAAAAATTTAAGATTTAAAATAACAAAATTAAAAAGTTTGGATTTATTTTGTTATAAAGGTAATTTTTTTATATAATTTATCCTTATTTATTTATTTATTTTTTGAAAATGTAAAAAGAAATTAAAGAAGAATTTCATGCGAAATGGTGATGGTGACAAATTAACAATTTAGATGTTCGAAAGATGATACTAACAAATTAGCAATTGACACGTGGCCCATAAAATATCAATGAATCTTCATTAATTTAGATACATGATATTCTCAAGATATTCTATCACCTTTCGGCCTCTTTGCGGCCAGAGGTTAAAAGTAATTTTTTTGGTTTTTAATATTTTTTGAATTATATTTAGTGTGTTTAGTTTTAATTTTTTGAATTTAGTTATTTAAAAATTAAATTTTTTATTTTTTGTATTTTTTTTGTTTTTAGTAAATATTTTTAAATATTTTTTATTTTTTTTGATGCACCTTTGCTTAGATGTATCTAAATAGTAAAATATTTGTGAAAAAATATTTTAAAAAATTAATAAATATACAAAAATATGAAAAATATACTGAATTTTTGTATTTTTTGATATTTAGTATATTTTGTAAAGATTTTTTTCACCAATATTATACTTTTTAAGTGTGTTTATATTAGGTGTGTCTAAAAATTAAAAAAAAAAGTACTTAAAATATTAAAAAAAATTATTGAAAACATTAAATTATGAAAAATAAAAAAATAAATTTTTTTAAAAATTATTTTTTTAAAAACGAGAACCAAACAAGCTGATTATTTTTTTATTTTTTTATATATATATTTTTTTTTAAAATTAAAAAATTAACTTTTAACATATTTCTCAAAATAATTTATCAAACATTGTTTATAGTTTATATAGAAAGTGGTTTATTAATTTATTAATTAATCTTTGGGCGTGTGATGTGATGATGCCCATTTGCGAGAACAGAGTCAACTTGAGGCGGCAAGATAATTAATCCGTTTGGCAAGAGCTAAACGGGGCTTTTTTGGCTATTTTAGTCACAAAAGACAAAATAGATTATTTTAGTCACAAAAAACAAAACATCACATCCAACCCATAATCATTACATTCTTCTCTCACAAAAAAAGCCAAAAAAATCAAAAAGCCAAAAAGCCCTTCCCAAACCAAACTTTTTAGCCCAGGCTAAAATAGCCAAAAAAGCCAAAAAGCCAACCCACTTCCCAAACGGAGGCTAAAGATTAATTAATTTTTGTATGATATTTCTAAAATTTTTTGTAAAAAAAAACATTCTATAATTTATTCTACATACAATGCCAATTGCAAGCATCTAATTAGTGACAAAGGGTTAGTAACAGTCTTGTTGTGAGGCATTTTGGGAGTTTTTTTCAAATTTATTTTGATAATTTAAACCGTTTATATTATAAGATTTGTTGACCTTATCATTTATGTAAAAAATTAAGTTATTTGGACACCTGTAAACCCATGATTATGTCCTAACTATTTTTAAAGAACTATTAAATTTATGTTAATCATTTATTTTTTTTAAAAATGCTTTTGTTATGCAGTTACAAAAGTCTAATTAAGTTGAATTTTGTATAGATGATTTAGTAGACGAATTTTACAATATGTTTAAATTATTAAAATAGACTCAGGCAAATCCCCACATGACTTCATATCAACCTATTGTGCCATAAACCACATCAAAAACCCCAATTCCTCTAATCAGACAGTAAAATAATTTGATGACATATAATATTTTACAAATATTATTAATCATGTAAAATTGAGAGAAGACTTTAATCAACTGGACTAGTTTACTTATTGAGAGTTCTTAGACTTCATGAGAAAATTAAGAGTGCTTCTAATTACAGTGAAAATATAATAAAAAAATAAAAGTGATAGAAAATAAAGTAAAATTTATTTATTTTTGTATGCATTTTGTTAAAATAAACTTTTGTGAGGAAGATGTAACCAAGTTGGAAAGTGAGATAACAAGCTACTTTGACATTAAAAATAAAAAATTCATGCACTTTTTGCAATAACCTTTATAGTTTTCATAACTTTTATGTTAAACAAATGTAATAAAATAATAATAATAACTTTTATGCACTCTCCATTCCTTTTATTTTAACCAAACTCATACTCAAGGGTTTCCTTCTTAGGTTTTTCTTATTTAACTTTATAGATAATGAGATTTGATTAACAATTTAATAGACTCGTATAAATCATTTGATCGATGAAAATGACACTAGTTGTTTTATAAGACTATGAATTTTTCCGATAGTAATACATTCTTATAATGAAGCCAAATTACTAATCCAATATTATAGAATTCGAGATAAAATGACTACTTTGCCCTCATTTTATAATCACAAGGAAGTCACATCTTACAAAATAGAGGTAGTGTTTGGTTTTGTTTTTGAATCATGATTTGGATAAAAAAGAAAAAGAAAAACATGTATAGTTAACATGTTTTTCAAACACAACTCAAAATTGTTTTTTCTTTCTCTTCTCTCCTTCTCTTTTATTTATTATTAATAAATTAATCAATCACTTTTTCTCTCTCCTCTCATTCTCTCGCATTTTACACATCCATTAATATAAAAAAATTACAAATCATTCCAAAATTATTTTCAAAACTCATAATCAAACATATTTTTAACTTTCAAAACTTATTTCAACAACTTATTTTTTAAGATATAACTCAAAATTCATTTCAAAAACTAAATCAAATTGAGATTTTTAAGTAATTTTACACATTTAATCTTAACTAATACATAAATAAATATATTTTATTTTACAATTTTAAGTACTAAAGCAGATGATATTTCGCCTCCATACAAATAGAAAAACTGTGTAAAGCGTGGCCTAGTCACAATAGTCTTAAAATATAATTTATATAATATATATATATATATATATAATAATTATAAGCAAATTGAGAGAGTGCATTTGTTATGGAGAGATATCCCAAATATTTCCAAATTTCAAAATACAATTACAACATAATTACAAAATAATTTAATAATTGCAAGTAAATTAAAGAGAAAAACACATAATAAAAAAAAAGGGTTAGATTAGGCAGCTCAGTCCAGCCCATTTGGTCGGTTTTTGAGTCTCATTTCGATAATTCAAATCGTTTATATTTTTTAAATTTATCAAATATATTATTTTTGTAAAAAATTTAGACGATTAGATAATAAAAAATACGATTTTGAATTAATTTTTTATAAATAATTTATTTTCTCATCTTTTTTTTCTATATATAAAATTAATCTAAACACATACTTATCGTTATCTAATTAATTTAATTTTTTACGAGAATCGTATAGAATCCTAAAATATAAAATAGTTCAATTATTGAAATATAGCCCAAAATAAACCCAATAAGCTGGACAACCCCTCCCCAGCCGAATGAAAGGACTGGAGAGAAGCCATCAAGTAAAAAAAAAGAAAAGTGTTTTGGAAAATGCCTGGTAGCTCGAAGCTACCAGGCTCGAAAATGGCTCGAGAGGAAGAGAGGGAGAGGAAGAGGGAGAGAAAGAGAGGGAGAGGAGAAAGAGAAGGGAGGGAGAGGAAGAAGGTCGGCGTCGCAGCTCCCCGCCCCGCCGTCGTCGCAGCTCCCGCCGCCGCCTCTGCTTCCTCCTCCGTCGCAGTCCCGCCGATGTCGCAGCACCACCGTCGTCTGCCCAGCCTCCCCTCCTCCTCAAACCGGTTTTTATGGCCCCCTTCCCTCCCTCCTCCTCCTCCTCCCTTCTCTTCTTCTCCCTTCTTCTTCTTCTTCTCCTTCTCCTTCTTCGTTCTGCAAAACCAGGGAAGAAAGAAAAAAAAAAAAACACAAAATCGACACCAAAACGACGTCATTTTGGTGTCGAGCCGCGTTTCGAGCCGTGACATTCGAGCTACGTAGCATGATCGAAGTGTTTTAGATCTTTAAATTATGAGCTCTAGAAGAGCTTTAATTTGTAGGTGTCAGTATGTGATTTGATGTTTTAACTTTTGTTTTGTATTTTGTATTTTTTTTTTTTGGTAAATTATATTAACGGTCTCTATAGTTTAGGACTTGTGTCACTTTGGTTATTGATTTTTTAATTGTGACACATTTGACCCTGAATTTTGAATCTTGTTCTAAATAAAGACAATTAAAAATACCATTGAATTTTTTAAGAGCAAAATAGTCAATTTGATAAAATATAAACTAATTTGACAAAAATAAATTTCCAAAAAAATATTTTGAAATTTTTAAAAATTATTTTTATCCACTAAAGATAAAATTATATAAAATCGATAAATCTTTTATACATTTATTTATTTATTTTACCAAGTTAATTTTTATTATATGTTTGGATGATAATCAGGTAAAATTAATCTTTAAAAATTAATCATGTAATTTTTATCAATTTTATATAATTTTATCTTTGACGGGTAGAAATAATTTTTAAAATATTTTTTTGACATTTATTTTGTCAAATTAGTTTATAATTTATCAAATTGACGATTTTACCCTTGAAATTAAACAATGATATCTTCAATTGCCCTTATTTAAAACAAGATTCAAAATTTAAAATCAAATGTGTCACAATTAAAAAATAAAAAATTAAAATGACACGAATTTCGGACTATAAAGACTATTAATATAATTTTTTTTTTCTTTTAAATTGTCACGTCACTCGTGCTCATATTAGAGCTCGAGCTCTTAGGCCTAGTTTAGAAAAACTAAATAAGTGCACTTTTTGACTTTTTATGAAATATGAGTTGGGTTTGGGTTGGGTTTGAAGTGATGTGTTAGAGAGGCGATGTGACTTAAATAAGATGATGTGACTTAAATATGATAGTAACTTTTTGACTTTTTATCTTTTTTTAATCATACCAAACTTGGCCTTAATCACCCTGAAAAAAAGATTGGGAGAGAGAATCTCTCAGCCGAAAGAGGGAGACAGTGAGGCGTTCAAGAAAATGCCGCTTAAACCAACGGTAGCTTTTTCAAGCCACCCGAAACAGCCCAAAAAGCCATCGAATTCTTAGGCTTCCGTCACGCTTTCATCAAACTTGTTCGATGTTTAATGCTGGCCTAACTCTATATAAACTCTTCAAAAGCCACCATTTTCAATTTCTTCGTTCCATCATTATCTTCTTCCGTGACATCCCCAAACACTCTCTCTCTCTCTCTCTCTAGATTACTGGTCTGAATGTGACTTCCATTCAATCGAAGGTTAGTTTATCGTATACTGTTCGTAGTGTTCGATTAGTTTTGTTGCACTGTGAATTCATTTCCAATATCGAATTATTGAATTTTTGATCTTCTTTTGGTACTGTGTATTTTAGAGTTCTCGAAATTGAAATCTGTGGATTTGAGATTTCCTAATACTAAAACTTCGAATACATACCTGTATATGTTAATTGAATGGTGAGTTTGTTCGATTCTGTTCGAGGTTTGTTTTGTTGCGCTATCAATTCATTTCCAATATCGAATAATTCAACTTTTTGATCTTGTTTTTTTCTCTGTATTTTACAGTTTTCGAAATTAAATTCAGTGGATTTGAGATTTCCTCATACTAAAGTATGCATATATATATATATATATGTCTGTATGTATGTATGTGTATGTGTTAATTGAATGGTGAGTTTGTTCGATTCTGTTTGTGGTGGTGATTGATTAGTTTTGTTGCGCTGCGAATTCATTTCCAATATCGAATAATTGAGTTTTTGATATTCTTTTCTTTTTCTGTGTATTTTAGAGCGTTTGAAATTGAAATTAGTGGATTTGAGATTTCTTAATATTAAAGTTTCGAATTACTCTCTTTCATATACATACATAGATTTCTGTATTGTATGTGTATATGTTAATTGAATGGTGAGTTTGTTCGATACTGTTTGTGGGAGTGTTTGATTAGTTTTGTTGCACTATGAATTGATTTCCAACATTGAATAATCAAGCTTTTGATCTTCTATTTTTCTTTGTATTTTAGAGTTTTCGAAAATGAAATCAGTGGATTTGAGATTTCCTAATACTAAAGTTTCAAATACATACACACACACACATATATATATATATATATATATATATATATATATATATATTTACATCACTTCTTCAGACCGTGACGTGGTGCGCTGCCATTCGCTGAAAAAAAAAAAAAAAACAGTTTTTTTTTTTGGGCCAATCACGGGTCTACACGCATGACCCCAGTGACCCCCACTGGGGGTCTTAGGCATTTTTCATATATTTATATATGTATATATATCAATTGAATGGCGAGTTTGTCCTTTGTGTTAGTGATTGATTGATTGATTGTTGCACTATGAATTGATTTATAATATTGAATAAATTGAATTTTTTATCTTCTTTTTTGTGTATTTCGAAGTGCTCAAAATTGAAATCTGAGGTTTCCTAATACAAAAGTTTCGTATAACTCTCTCTTTAGTAAACGTAGTACATATATATGTCTGTAGGTATATATGTTAATTGAATGGTGAGTTTGTCCAATACTGTTCGTGTTAGTGATTGATTAGTTTCGTTGCACTGTGAATTTGATTTATAATATTGAATAAATTGAATTTTTGATCTTCATTTTTTTGTGTATTTTAGAGTGTTCGAAATCAAAATTAATGGATTGTGATTCCCTGATATTGAAGTTTTGAATTACTTTTCTCTTTCATATGCATACATAGATATGTATCTAGATATACGTTAATTGAATTTGTCCGATACTGTTTGTGTCAGTGATTGATTAGTTTTGTTGCACTATGAATTGATTTCCAATATCCAGTAATTTTTGAATTTTTGATCTTCTCTTTTGGAATTATTGGTCTCTCTCAAAATATGGTAGAGAATCTACCAGATTTCAATTGAGAAAAAAGTATGAATTTTTAGTAATAAATTTAGAAGGTAAAAATGATTTTTTTTTTTTTTCAAAAAAAAATTTCTGCTGGCATTATTGAATGCATTTTTTCCCTTTATTATAATGGTTTGCCTGGAGAAAAGATTTCATATTGCTCTGTTAATTTCTACATGTTGATGGCATTTTGGACATGAGCCCATGATTACAACATCATTATTGAAATTATAAAGCTTGCATATTTTCAGAAAAAAAAAAAAGAAGAAAAGATTTATTAGATCAAGTATAAAGGGAAAGTTCTTTTGCTTTAATTCGATTAAGAATAGAATGTATTCTTGATTGTTGAAAAAGGGAAAACTATAGGTGATGTAATCAAAGTCACCTGCCAGGCATGGAAAGGATGCCACTTGCTGCATTTTCTTTAATTCTTGATAGTGGCTGAAGCAGCTGATTAGTCATTAATATACTTCAGAAAGGTTCTAAGCCACATATGATTGTCGAACACAATGATAATAATTTTAAATTACTTTATTTCTTTGTCCTCTTCTTACTTACTCTCCATCAGCACTCTATGGATTTCTGAACAAGTTTTTGATTTCAGGAAATATGCACTCAAGCTTTGAAGAACCTATATGTTTGGTCTTATAGTAGAATCAACTATCTTACAAATTTGGGATCTATCAGCGAATATTTGGTCCACGGGGTGTAACTGGAAGCATTTTTCCTGATTTGTAACCAAAAGTGCAGTGATATTGATTACAATTGACTTAAGTTACGTAAATATTTCATATTTGAGATTTATATTGACTGGAACTAACCAGGAAAACAACAGCTCCATTGTTCTTGGAAAGCAGACAACTTACTAGTTGGAAAGATTGCTGGAGAAGTAAATATGTATGAGCCAGATTCCGATGCTGTTCGCTGGGGTTTTAATTTTCTTGATGTTGACCATATATTTAGTTCTACTTATTATGGTGATAACAACCAAGGTGATGTGAACATCTGGCGTGAACAGTACATCGGAGATGATAATTACAATACAGACTGTAACAGTGTAGAGAACGATGAGACTATTGCACATGCTCTTCAAGAAGAATATTCCCAACTAACAATTGCAGAAGCATCTGAATCTTCACATCCAAAGGAGGAGCACTTGAAAGTATCATCTACTACTGCTCCTGATTGGCTTAATCCATCATCGAGGAACTATTATTCTGGTAATGGGTGACCATTGCTTCTTGTTTGATGCCTTGATTGTCTTGTCATGTTGGTGATCTCTTCCATTGACCTTTATCAATTTGCAGGCTATAAGGGTGGCCAGGTAGAACCAGAATCAGATGATATGGGGCCCTCAAGTTCATGTTCTAGTCCTGGAAATAGATCATATGATGGGGAGGAGTATTCCTATAATCTGGAGATAGCAGACGAGTCTGCACTGGATGGAGAAGTAGGCAAGAGGTTGAACCAAATGATTCCTGTTCCTGTAAGTGAAGCTTACATAAAGTACCATGTTGTTTTCTGAAATTTAAGTTCATGGTTCAGCTTTCTTTGGTGCTATCATTATACTTTTCCTGCACCACTTTTAAAACTAGTTATATTGCTTCACTGAAGCATGCAAAATATCATATATATATATGTATGTCTGTCTGTGTATTTATGCACTGTTGGTCTAAGGACTTCGGTACATTCATCTCTGCCTTTGTTATGCGACCTTCAGTTCTCTAGTCACACTAATTAGATACATTATTGAGTGCCAGATTCTTCTTTTGAATGGGAAGCTGAGATTGGGAATGTTCATACAAGAAAATGTCACGGTTTTGTCTGGTTAAAATTAATTGTCTTCACCTTCAGAGTTTGGAAACTCATACATTTACATGTATCTTAAAGTTCTGTTGTCATTATCATACCCGTGTTTTCCTTGTAGTTGTGTAGTTGTTGACCAATGGCATAAGCTCTTATATATGTGTGTCTGTGTGTGTGTGTGCGCACAAGTGCTAATGGAGTACACACCAATCTCACCATTTCTGTTGTAAATGTTTCTAAGAGCTTAGAAAGGAATCATATCCATCAATACACTTGGTGCTGTTCTTGATCCTTGATCAATTTATTGAATTAGAAGCTCAAGCATATTGGTTTCACATGGATCTGGAAATCTTAGTTCTTCATTCCTGCCAAGTTTAGATAGAGAATCAACTTCATTATACCATATCAAACTCTGTATATGGCTTCTTTGACTATTTTATTCATTTTGTTGGTTTGATTGATTAGTTTACATTATTATATTCACTAGAAATATACTGTTACTGAATTAGTCATCTAAAATCCACATGCAAAAAGTGGATAATCTAATGTTATCAAAAAGCTAGGTCAGGCTGGCAGTTATACTTGTATGTCCACATATCAATCTGTAGGATTAAGGTAGTGGAAAGGCTGCAAAAAGGGGTGGACACTTTTTTCTACGTGTGCTTATCACTTATCCCCATTTGAAAATGAGGAGATCCGACGTCAAGTGCAGGAATTGCTGTCGAAGGGGCAGGAGAGTCTCAGTCTGTTCAACTCCTGCTTGACTAGCTGAAAAGGTGGCAGCTGGAGTGTGTAGATGGGCTTTGAGCACGTAGGAATGCGGACTACTACATAAGTCACTAGTGGCTGAGAGAATGCGCGCATCACCTTGTATAGGTTGGGAGGAGCTTGAAGAAGCGAGCCCCTCTCTGTTCAAGTGATTCCGTCAAAACCCCTTGTATAGGTTGGGTGCTTGAGCGCCCAGCGGGTTCTCCCCTTGCCCTTGAACGATAGAAGAACTACTTACATTCTCTTAGATAGCGGTCGATCGGTTCGCATCTATGGTCAATCAATAGGCCGCAGATCTATTCTTCTATACGATAAATCGCCATTTGAGTAGTGATCTCATAGTCAAGGAGAGTATGGTCTACCTCCTTACTAAAATTGATGCTATGAGATAGACGCCTTCCGAAAAAAGAAATACCAATTCCTCGATGAAGTGTCAGATTTCTTCGATGGTAACTTGGTTCCGACCCAATGAATGACTAAAGGGCGTAATCCGGGGCCGGTGGGGAGAAAGGAGTAGACCCATCTTGGCTCGACGAACTCCTCGTAAAGTGTCCTGAAATGATTATTTTTGGTATGCGACTGAACAAGTAGATCTGGGTGAGTACTTTAATAAATATGCAGTACTCGGTGATGATATTATCATCGCGGATGCTAGGATTGCAGAAGTCTATGCCCAGAGTGCTCATTATTGAGTGATCCCCCTTTCATGATTGGAAGAAGTGCTATATGAGGACTTCGAGATCAAATAAAATATGTTTTCTTTTATTCTGATGAGTAAAAGGGGACTGGAAGTTTTTGTCTTTGTATTTATTTTTTTTGGGGTATGGGGGGAGGTAGGTCTTATTAGTTAATAACAATTTCTTTAGAAACTGCTGTTTGCAAGCCAGGTAACCTATTATAATACTCTAGGAATGACCTAACAAAAGTGCAATCCTGGAGGCTGGACCTTTAATTAATTTTGACCAGAAGGCTCTTGTTTTGTTGATGAAAAAGAAAGATGGAACTGGCCTACTTATCCTCAAGTAGTTTCATGATTCGCTTACAAAATCACACTGCTTGTAAAGGCAAAATACCATGGCCAAAATATCTTTTTTTGGAACCCAAACAACCAACCCAAGAGTAAACCTCAAGTTGGAAATTAGAAGTAGGATTTAGACATAAACATTGATTATAAGCACACGAAGGGCCCCAGAGATTGGCATGTAGTCTGGGAAAATAGATTGGCTTCTCTGCTTCCTCCAAAGGCTCTCATAGGATGTTCAGGTGCTTACACAACAACTCCTCAATGTGCTTTGCTTAGTCTTTTGTTGTCTACAATATATAAATGCACAATCGTCTACTTCCAGTATTGTGCATTTCAATTAAGTATATCCTATTGGATCCCATCTTTAAATTGGTAATGCATGTGCTTCTATTATTTGTCTTTGAACTGGGTCCAATTGTGAATATTTGTTAGAACTATTTGTTGGTTTTATGCAGCATATTCCTAGAATTAATGGTGATATACCTTCAATTGATGAAGCAACTTCTGATCATCAAAGGCTGCTAGATAGGTATTTTCTGTTTTTTATTATATTTTTTGTTTAAGAAATTATGATTTTTCTTTGTTGTGGTCTGCATAGATATCTTATGTGGCAGTAATAAATCTGGTTAACTTGAATCTGTGGGGCTTATTGTGGGGTGATCCAGTGGGGGCTAAAAGCACTATGAATATCTCTTCACTGTACTTGTGGACCAAGAACGAATTAATTAACTTGAGTATATCAGTCTCACCCACCCCCTTGCTGTTTGTGAATGCACGGATGTGTTTGTTAAGCATGATAAAGCTTTCCATGCTGAGGTGGGTTGAGCATATCAGTCTCCCCTGCCCCTTCTTTGTTTGTGAATGCACGAATGTGTTATGCATTTTTTTTTTATCAGCTTGAATGTGTTATGCACAAGGTTCTGAAAAGCGGTTGCGGTTGCCGTAACGGTGGCGGTGACGCGGTTGCGGTTGCGGTTGCGGGGTGTAAAGGCCGTAGCGTAACGGTTGCGGTAACCGGAACCGTGAATTTTTTTATTTTTCGCATAATTTGAAAAAAACTTACCGATACGCACATTTTTTTTCCATGATCATATTTATTGGATTTTAAAATAAATATTGATTAATTTTTATAAATTTTTAAGTTTGATCCAATATATTTCATATTTTTAAATCACTATAAATTGAGTTTTTTATATTTTATTTTAATAATTAATGACTTTATATTATACAAAAAATCAATCACTAACTATTATATATAAGATAAACAATGACAAATGTAAGAGAATAAATAAAAGTCTAAATATATATATATATATATTAATCAAGCCAAATAGATAATGACCACACTTATTATTATTATTATTATTATTATTATTATTATTATTATTATTATTTTCAAATAATATATAGATAGACACACACAAACTCTATCTCTTGTTCCTCCATCTTTCCTATTCTCTCTCTCTATCTCTTGTTCCTCCATCTTTCCTATTCTCTCTCTCTATCTCTTGTTCCTCCATCTTTCCTATTCTCTCTCTCTATCTCTTGTTCCTCCATCTTCCTTCTTCTCTCTCTATCTCTCTTCCCCATTTTCAACCTTTTTTTTTTTTTTTTTTGTATTTTTTCGAAAGAAGCAATTTAAAACCGTTACGTAACGGTGCGTAACAGGCCGTTACGGCACCATTACGACCGCTATAGCAGCCGCTACGACCGATACACCTATGAATCTCAATCACACTGCAAAAGCGGCCGTAACGGGTGGCGGTAACTACCACAACCGTTACGTAATGGTTGCGGCCGCTTTTTAAAACCTTGGTTATGCATAATAAAGCTTTCCAGGCATTGGTGGGTTTTGGGTTCAACTTGTTTGGTTCTGCAGAATTTGGGAAGCTCTAGTATGGCTTGAGATGGAACCAAGCCAAAGAACCTTTTTCCACCATCACTTAGCATACTTGTCAGCGGCGTAGTGACTTGGCTTTATAATTTCGTATATTAAGATATATTATGCTTCTCTAATTTTATGCTCTGTTTTTTTATTCTGATGAATATATTCTTTAGACTTTGAGACCCAAAAAAACAAAAGTGTTGGAATCATGCTATTCTTCTAATATCAAAATTGTTGCGTACACTAGTGGAAAATGATTTAAAAGAATAAAGATATTGGGTCATTCATCATAACTTCAAAAACTTTTTGTCAGTTCAAAAAAGATGATGCCAAAATTCATCATTAACTTGAACACTTTTGCAATGTCTTCGAATTTTTTGGAGAATAGTATTTCGGAACTCTGACTTGTTAATACCTTGCTCCAACCAACTCCTACTTCTGCTCCTAGCTTATTATGTATTAGCATTCTCTATTTAATGCTGTGTAATAAATATTATGCAAATGAGGAAGATAGATGATTGACCCTTCCGTCATTTAATCTATTTGTTGGCATATGAAATTCTTATATTAGAAGTCACTGTATCATTATAGTGATATTATGCTCTTTTCATGGTTGCTAGGATGTTCTGCTATATTCCCTTTAGTTTTGGATATATATATATATATATATCATGATGCGTTTCCTTTCTTTGCAATATGCTCTTTTTTACTGTACCACATGCAGTAAACTTGATTTCAGATGTTATTTTACAGATTGCAATTGTATGACTTAGTTGAGCACAAGGTTCAAGGTGATGGTAATTGTCAGGTCAGTTGTTATTCTTTCTCCGCTTCTACATAGTAAGTTGAGTATACGTACATATAAATATATATTTTTTACCCCAAATCGCTACTATTTAAAGCAAAATAAACTTTTTCTTCTTGTGTGCGCTAGTGGTGGGGAAGTGGTTGGTAGCAACATTTGTTCCATTTGACATAATGTCCAAAGATATGGGCCTAACAAGTAATAGAAACATTATTATGCGTCTTCATAAAGTGTTGGAGGGTGGTCATACAGTCTCATTGAGAGGGGAACTGAAATTTACCCACTGCTTTATACAATTTCAATAGTTCGTTTAGAGCAGGGGACTGGACTTATTTAAACCATGTCTTTTTTTTTTTTCTCATTTTGATGTATTGTATGAGTTTTGCATGTCACTAGGTCCTCAGTATGTCCGCATGTCCTCGGAATTTCTCTACTAGGATAGTCACTGGGAAATCTAATGCCTTCTTGTCATGTAACCTGCTTAGATTTTTTTTTCCTTTGTTAGAGATAGTAACTCACTCTCTTTTTTGCCCTTCCAGTTTCGTGCTTTATCAGATCAATTCTATCGCACCCCAGAGCACCACAAATTTGTAAGACAGCAAGTTGTTAATCAGGTGGTTATCATAGAAAATGATAGTATACTTTTTAAGGAACTGTTGAATATTGTTGAGTTCACTATAGTGCAGATTATCTGGATCCTAATTTCTGTCTCTGATGGTTGGACACTGGCAGCTTAAGTCTCATCGTGACACATACGAGGGATATGTTCCCATGGAATATGGTGACTATTTAAAGAAAATATCCAAGTATAATTTAAAATCCTTTTCTTTTGCTGTTCTTCCTATATTTCAAATATTCGCAGAATAGCTGTATTTATGCCTTTTGTATTGATTAAACTAGGAGTGGTGAGTGGGGAGATCACGTGACATTGCAAGCAGCTGCAGATTCAGTAAGGATTGTACAAAATTTTCCTTCCATTCCTTTGTGTTGAATTTGCTTGCAGTTTTGGTCAATTACTGTTGGTTTGTATGTGAGATGTGAGTTTGAATGTAGTTCATTAGTAGCCTATATGGTAAAAATTTGGAAGTTGTAAGTTGATCTACTCTATTTTAGGTTTAATTGCAAGAGAATAACTAACTGGCTCGATCAAATATTCATTTAACCCAGAACTAATGTATTTTAATGTTGTGTTGCAGTATAGTGTAAAAATTTTTGTGGTCACCTCATTCAAGGATACCTTTTCCATCGAGATTCTCCCGAAATCTCAAAACTCCAAACGAGGTAAATTTCAAGGGTTCCCAGCTTATGTATGCATTAATAATTGTTTAATACTAAAAATAGCACTAGTTGTTCGTTTCAAACAGCAATTTGTTTGTCGTCTACAAAATTATTGACTGACACTTGTCAGTTCTCTAAGCTTGATACTTTTCAACAAATTTAAAGGTTCCGGTGTTGAACTTCCGTTAATTTAATTCACCTTTCTTTTTCACTTTTTTTCGCTTTGTGGCAATAGCAAAGAGATAACCAAATCGTTATAATATTCTTTTCGGTAATCCATACAGATTTATAGAGATTAATTTGTGCCTTTGCAGTCATTTTCTTGAGCTTTTGGGCAGAGGTGCACTACAATTCTATCTATCCTCAAGGAGGTGACTACCCTTAACTTTTCTTAAAAAGAGAATGAGATATAGCTTTCTGCTGGAAAAGAACCTCTTGGGACTATTCCAACTTAACTCAAGTGCTGAACCTAATTGTTAGGTACAGACCACCATGCCTCCTGGCTTTCTCTCAGTCTTCCCTGATATAGAAATTGGACTGACATACACCTCTCTAAAGCTGTGTTTAGATCATGAATTCGGAGAGGGATTTGCCAGGGGAAAGAAAAATTGAAGATTTTTCCTTAAATCCATGATCCAAACACAGCTTAAATGTGTATGTGTGTGTTGTTAGCTATATGTTGAGCTTTGCCCTGATGGAGAGTCCACCAGGTTACCGGCATTTACCCAACAAAAATAAGTAAAATTTCTAGTTTCAAACTTTAAGCGGACAACTTGAGTTGGGATGGGTTTAGCAATTTACGCTAGTGTGCAGTTTTAACATTATCATCTTCGCTTTTGGTCCTATCTTGATCCCTAACAATGCAAGTGTTTGATTGTTTTGCTTCTTAAACCAGAATTACTGCCTTGTGATTCTAAGAGGAAGAAAAAGTGGTGGCATTTTGGAAATTAGCATTAGAAGCTTCTGGCTTTGTGGTAAAGCACACAGTTCCCTTCTCCATTCATCCTTGGCTTGTGCTTGTCTCCTGGTGCTAGACTATGCATTCTTATATTTATACCTTTCAGTTCACTAACTTCTACTGTAGATACATATATAGCATAGATGCATTATGTCTTTTGTTTTAATTTTTTTTATTTTTCTTTATTTCTCATTGTTGTGCAAGTATGCTGCTATTTTTGCATGCAGGTATTTTTTCTCTTAATCGCATGCTTATGACATTGGGAGTTTTATTTGGAAAGGTTGAATGTCACTATATGTATGATTTTTCAAACATATTTGAAAATAATGGGGAAAAGAGGTTACATTTTTCATTGAACTTCTTTACTATGTGAAACTGGCTACTCTTTTTTTGTTTTTTTATTTTTATTTTATTCTCCGGGAATCATAGAATACTTGGATGGAACAATTTTTGGATGTGGCCTGAACAAAAGGTTTTCATGGAGTGAGTCTTATTTACTGTTTTGCAATTGATACTGATGCAAAAATAAAATCATAATATTTAATGTTTGGCAATTGGCAATATTTATTTATTCAGTTCCGGGTAGCTTGAAAATAGTTTGCTCGAATTGGCTCAAAGCCCAAAACGACATTGTTTTTGAGTTTTCCTTTTTTTTTTTTTTAACCACCCAACACTAGCCACCCCCCGCCACCATTTTCCACTATCGTCTTCCGCCACCACCACCACCCACCACCCACCACTCACCTGCCATCCACCCGCCACCACCCACCACTCACCACTACCATCCACCGCCCGCCACCACCACCTACTTGCCACCACCACTCATTACAAAAAAAAAAATCAACCATTCATCTTTAGATCCAGAACATCTTCATCATTCAACAACAACACCTTCATCAACATCACCATCATCATCATCAGCCAACAAGTTTTATTTTTATTTTTATTTTTCCTTCATCTTCAGATCCAGATCCACTAGAAAAAAAAAGGAAAAAAAAGAAGAAGAGAGAAATCAGAGAAAGTGGCGATCGGCGATATCCACTGGCGATCACCACCATCACCGTCTTCTTCTCTTCCTCCTTCTCTCTCGCCTTTTCTCTCTTCCCCTTCTCTTCTCTTCTCTCTTCTCTCTCTCGTCTGTATTCAAAAGCAAAAAAAGGGAGGGGAGGGGGGGAAAGGGGGAAAAAAAAAACCCAAGATGACGTCGTTTTGGGTTTCGAGCACATGTGGGCCAATAATTTTTGAGCTACCAGGTATTATTCTTATTTATTTTTTAGTTTTATTTTGGATTGAGCACTGATATGAGGATGAGATGATTTTAAACAATATCAACCATGTGAAGTTGAACAATGATATGCTACAATGGTGAAGTCCTGCATAGTAGTGGAGCATCTTCTTCTTAACATGGCATAGTACGAAAAAAGAAGAGGAGGGAAATAAAGATAAATAAGTGTGTATGTTTAGATGGAATTAGTTCTTTAGCAGCTTTAAGAAATAATAATAATTAAAAAAATAAAAAGAAGGTTCACTGAATCACTCTGGTTAGTCTTGAATGCATTGGAGAATTTTAATGAATAATTTTCTTCCAAATCTGTTTCAATGGTGAGCTAATTTCAATTTTGTGTTTGAGGGAAAAAAAGAAGAATACAAAGGCAGGTTTGGTAGTTTGTGTTTCCCTTTGGGCTGTGTTTAGTTGGGGGATTTGAAGGATGATTTGGAAAAGGAAATGAAAAAGGAATGTGAAATGTGAATAAAATATACTTACATTTCACTTAGTTTCACACATATTTTTTCTTTTTTTTTTTTCAAATCCCTTCTCAAATCTTCCAACTAAACACAACATTAGCATTTTCATTTTGTGTAAAATACAAACAACCTGTTTGGTAAACTATTTTTGAAAACTGTTGCGAGGGTTTTGAAAAAAAAAAAATGCAACTCATTTTTTAAGAAATACCAAAAAGTTAGTATTTGCACAAAACTAAAATTGATATGAAAATGGTGTGTAGGTTTTGAACTATTCATTTGGTAAACTATTTTAAAAATTGTTGTGAGGGAATTTAAAAAAAAGAAAAAAGAAAAGAAAAAACAATACACTTTTTAGGAAATATCAAAAAGTAAATTTTCGCACAAAACTAAAATTGATATGAAAGTGGTGAGTAGTATTTGAACTTTTCATTGTTTTTCTTTTTAAAAATATTATTCCAAAAGGAAAAATTGAAAACGAAATGTTATAAATTATTCCAAAACGAAAAATTGAAATAATACACTTTTCAGTGTTCTTTTTATAAATTATTTGTTTAATATTATTAGTAATTTTATCCAAAAAGTTGGTAGTAGGATCCAATTTCAACAAACTAATAAACCTGCAAAAATAAAAATAAAACTACTTTGATGCCACTCTAGTGATGCCATTCCTTGATAAAGAATACACAAGCACATGACTAAAAGGGCGGAAGGCCTTAGACAGAGAAAAGGCTGTGCACTAACAGGAAAACAAAGAAATTCGCCCTCCACACACACAAAGATCTTCTTGATTGTGATGTTTTGAGAAGTTGGTAAAAAGTTAAATTTTTGACTTTTTTAATAGTTTTTTTGGTCAAAAAGTTAGGTTGTTTTGGATAAAAAAAATTGACTTTTTTTACTAAAAAAATTAAAAAGCTAAAAAGTTGACTTTTTTTTGACAATTTCCCAAAAGACCATCATTCCGTCTTCTTAGCTTATTTATGAATATTTGTCTACTAATCTCATTTAGTAGCTATTCTTTCTTGAGCAACATATTAGTGTAACAAGTATATGAATTGATATAACTAGTTTGAACCCCCTAATGCAATTAATTACCAAAAGCGGGAACTAAGAGCATCTCTAACCTTGAATCAAAATTTTCATCAAATCTGAGTAAAAAAATGATTTTTTCCTCAATCTAATACCGAGTGCTCCAACGGTTGATTTTCATCAAATTTTCATCAAATCTGTGCCGAGATAACCGGTTGGTTGACTGGCCGGTCGATCGGTTAAGCCAAATTTTTTTTTTTTAAACTGTTTGAATCTTTTAGTGGTCGACTGGTAAGGCAAAAATTTTTTTTTTTCAACTGTTTGAATTTTTTTTGGAATTGTTTGAACCTTTTAGAGGCCGACCGGTTGGTCAACCGACCGGTGGACTGGTTGGTCTCCCCCAACGGCCATGCACAGTGTTTTGGTGAAATGCGGAGCCTGTCCTCCTTTTGGTGAAACGTTTGGTGAATTCTTGATTTGATATCAATTTGGTAAAACCGTTAGAGCTCCAAATAGTGCTTTTTTCACCAAATTTCAAATTTGATGCTAGGTTTGGTGAAGGGTTGGAGATGGTCTAAGGTGAGCAAATCCTACAAGTGATTTCACCCTAAAGATAATGAATTTTACTGTTTTTGACTTGGATTGATGACAAGCTAAACGATAGATAGAAAGACTTGATTAGTGTTAAGGAGAAAAATTTTAAGGTCTTGTTTGTCATAACTTAAAAAAGTCAAAAAGTCAGTATCTTATTTAAGTCACATCATCTTATTTAAGTTATATCACATCTCTACCACATCACTTCAAACCCAACTCATACTCAATTCATATTTCATAAAAAGTCAAAAAGTGCACTTATTTAGATCATCCCAAACCACCCTTAAGTGTCTGACAATGATTTTGTCATACAATTTCAGTTATAATTCTTTATCGCATTGATACCAGACGAAGAAAAGACAAGAGTTAAATAAAAGGATCCATTACTTTACTACACCAATAGATTATTTTAGTTGACTATGCCTCCGTTTAGGAAATGGGTTGGTTTTTTGACTTTTTGATTTTTTTGGCTATTTTAGCCTAGGCTAAAAAGTTTGGTTTGGGAAGACCTTTTTGGCTTTTTTGATTTTTTTGTGAGAGAATAATGTAATAATTATAGATTGGATGTGATATTTTATTTTTTATGGCTAAAATAGCCAAAAAAAATCCCGTTTAGCTCTTGCCAAACGGACCCTATTTAACTTTTTACAAAAAGAGATATAAAAAAATAAAAAAAGTGATATGATGACATATTTTATTTTATTAGTTATTTTAGTCTAAATAGCCAATTCTAGACTAAAATAATCAGTAAAACAAAATACTTCATCACATAACTCTCTCTACCTTTTTACATGTATTTTCATAAAAAATTAAGTAATCAATTAAAATAACTAATTTCCAAACAAGGCAACTCAAAAGTACAATTAAGAGCACTATTTGACCTCCCTTACAAAATTATGCTTTTTTTTATTTTTTTTAAATCACAATGCTTCTCCATTTTTTTAAGCATTCTTTTATAAAAAATAAAAAAATATAGTACTTATTTCAACCATCTTAAACACCCCTAATCTATATAACCATCACAATATTTGCCATATTACCACTGTTTACATCAACAACTCAAGCCTAATTCAAATTTAAATTTATTATACTTGGATTGTACTTGAACCCATAAATAGTAAGGTCAAGTTTGACAAGTCAAAAAAAAGTTAAAAAGTTAAAAAATTATTCAAAAAGTTAAAAAATTATCACTATTCATCAAAAGTCAAAAATTACGGCTGCACAACTCCCAATCCTAATTTTTCTCTACACACTAATTTATACAATTTTTTAATATATATTTTTTCATAAGAAATTAAAAAATTAACCCAAACATCCATATTTTTTTCTCAATTTTTTAGTTCAAAAATACAAAAAATACACATATTTAAGACACTCCAAACAATCAAATTTAGACAACACACAACACAACGCAAGGCAATTTAGCAACTTGCTAAAACAAATTTTTTAACTTTTCAAACTTTTTTATACAGAAAAAACAAAAAAACAAAAAAACTAAGGGCTTGTTTGGTTTGTTTTTGGAAGAGTTGTTTTTGAAAAAAAATTTGGAAAGAGAGTTTAGAAATTTTTTTGAATTGTTTAGTTGTATATTTTGAAAATAATTTTGGAATTTAAGAGTTTAAAATGATTTGATATTTTGTTATAATTGAATAGATGTGTGTGGGAGAAAAAGTGATTGAGAATGAGAGAGATGAAAGAGAAAAAGTAATTTTAAAAATTTTTAGAAAAAAATTTCAAACCAAATAATTTTTTTAATTTTTTTTTTCAAAAACTCAAACCAAAGATATCCTAACTTTTCTACACAAAAAAAAAGCCACCAAAAAATAAAAATAAAAATAAAAAAATTAATTTTTCACCAAGCTCTCCAAACACCACTAACTGAACCCCATAAAAAGTGCACCAACAATGATTCATCCCACTAAAAACATCACCACTAATAGCACTAATGCATTAAAAAAGTTAAAAAAAAAAAAAAACACACAACTCCAAGACCAAAATATCACATCATTAATAACGGGACCCACTACCACCTAATTAGTAGGAGTACTAATTAGTGCTCCCAAGCATTTTTAAAATGCACCAATAATCAACTCCAAAGCAAAACTTTCTAGCTTTCACATCTTTGCACAGAAATTATTATCAAGCAAATAAGGGCCCACCATCTATTCCCATTTAAGATAATTTACATTTCCCTCACGTTCACCCTCATCCAAACCTCAATAAAAAAATCATATTTTAAAAAAAAATTTACTGTAGAACACTTTTTTTTTTTCTTTTCTCTCTCTCTCATTTTTCTGAGTGAAATCACAAGACCCAAAATTTTCAATCCTTCTAACTACTAATAGAACACACTGAACCTTAATCACTAACCCTAGAAACACACACACATTACATTATTACATATATATATATACATTCACAGAATCATATCTTCTCCTCCCCAAGCACCTCTTCTTGTCTTCTCTCCTCCGCCTCATCAGTCGCCGGCTGCAGCAACAACGCCGTGAACGGCATATGCCGGTACTCATTCCCGGAAAGGTCCAGCACCATCGTCGGCGACGGCTGAGACAAGTTCAATCTACAGCTCGGCGGCGCCACCGCGAACATTCCCGCCGGTACATGTCCACCACCAGAAACCCCGGCGACTCTGGAAGAGGAGGAGGCCGAGGAGAGAGGGAGAGTTCCGGCGAGAGTGGAAACCGGACCCGTCGGGACGGTTCCGGTGCCGGTGGCGGCGATTATGGAGGGCTCGGCGTGGCGGAGCAGCCACTCGATGGTCTCGCCGTCGGAGCGGTGGCCGAGCTCGCGCGTCAGCTGGAAGATCCGGGCGGCGCAGAGCGCCGGCATCCTGACGCGCCGCCCCCGGCCGTTCACTTTCGTGTGGCGGTCTTTGGAAGAAGAAGCACCGACTTTTCTCGTCGCTACCAATTGATGCGGAATCTCTAAACCACTGGATGCGGCGGCTGGGGTGGTGGTGGTGGTGGTGGGTGGAGCAAGGTGGTGGTGGGTGGGTTGATCTTGTGAGGAGAACTTGGAGTCCGGTCTCTGAACCCATTGGTTTCTAGAGAGAGAAACTAGGGTTTAGCTATGGCGGAGAGAAGATAGAGATTAGGGTTTGGAAAAAATGAGATGGTCGGGTGAGGAGAGAGAAAGGGAGAGAGAGAGAAGTGGGTAGTGTGGGATTCGATTGACCCCACAGAGAGAGAGAGCCATTTTATGGAGAATTTTTTTAGGGTGTGAGAGTTTGGGGTTCGATCCGAGTAAATGTGGGCCATGGGCCCAATCATGGAGTAATGTGGGGCCCGCAACAAGATATTTGTCACTTAACTCAGTTCGGAGGGTGGGGTCCCACTGATTCATAAAGGGCGAGTATGATTGGATGAATACAGTCAACATGATGTTTCAAGGTGTGGTAATAGAGTAAAGTTTTGTAATTTAAAATTTTCAAGTCTCGAGTGTTACAACGACATTGTTTTAAATTTATTTATTTATTTATTTATTTTGGAAATTGGTTTGAGAACAAGAGAGAGGAAGAGAGGAAGAGAAAAGAAGAAAACAAAGAAAGGAAAAACAGAGGAGGAAAATTCTTATTAGGTTTTGTTAATTTGTAGTTTCAATGTTTATGGGCATTCTTTGGAAAAGAGGATGACCCGTCTTTCATAGAAGTTATTCTGTAAGTGTTAACATCAATTTTCTTGATTTCGAACTCGTAACTCAAAGCTTTGGTGAAAACTCTTACTGTTTGATAAAGTGGAGTTGAATTTGAAGATGGGTTCGGATTGGTGAGAGGGTTTCGCCAAGTCACCAACGAAGACCCTCTAGTCCGAGAAAAGTAGAGAGAGAGTGTGAGTGGTTTTGGTTTTGGCTTCCATTGATGAGAGATTTGTGAGTTTTGTTCTTTAGAAAAAGTGAAGGATTTTGCGGAAGATGAGAAGGGAAGAGAAGAGATGAAAGAAGACAAGGAGAAGTGGATAAGAGAGAAAGATAGAGAGAGAGTGTGAGTGGTTTTGGAATGAGGCCGAGAAAGACTGTGAAGCTTAGACCCAGATAGGAGATAGAAGCTTTTCATGGTCTTGCTGGTTACCGTGAAGTTCAATGGTGGTTGTGGAGGTGGGTAGTTGTTGTGGGTGTTGTTGTTGGGTTTCTTGAATTTCTTGATCATCATCTGCATGTGCTTGTGCTGCCATTAGTGAGTGTGAGCCCCTCTCTCTCTAAAACACAATGTGTGTTTATTTGGGAAAATGTGAGAGTATGTGAGGGTCTCTGTGGATTTTGTTCTTTAGAAAAAGTGAAGAATTTTTGGAAAGATAAAAAAGAGAGAGAAGAGATGAAAGAAGAAGACCGAGTTTCAGGCCACTCGAGCCATACAGTTTAGAGCTACGTAACGAAGTTGGTTGTAATAATGGAGAAAGTAAGATTTATGAATAATGTTATATGTACCAATTAATGTACACACTAGTGTACTAACAGATGATGTATTATTTGTATGGTTTTGGATATTTGTAACTTGTATAATAAATGTAGTTAATAATAATATTATAACACTAGTGTATATACTAATTGGTGCATGTAACACCACCAAAGATTTATAATTTTGTGTTAAATAAGAGTATCTTTAATATTAAATGTTATAATAACATTGTCATTGCCAATGCCAAATTATGGCAATGAATAATAAAAAATAGATAAAAATAGCAATTAACTTGTTTAGTTTGGATTTTCAAGATTTACTTTTCAAAAAATTAATTTTTTTTTTTGTTTTCACTGAATTTTTTAAAATATTCTAACTATTTTTTTTTAATTTTTAGACACATCTAGCATAAATATACTTAAAAAGTATAATATTTTTTAAAAAAATGTTTAAAAAATTCACCAAATACCAAAAATACAAATATATATATATATATATATATATATATATATATTCAGTACATTTTTCGTATTCTTATATATTTATTGATTTTTAAAAATATTTTTACAAGTATTTTATTTTTTAAATATATTTAAGTAATGTGCATCTAAAAAAGTAAAAAAAATTATTTAAAATTTAAAAAATATTCACTAAAAATTAAAAAAAATATATGAAAAAATAAAAAAATCAATTTCTAGAAAATTGAATTCAGAAAATTGAAACCAAATACAATGAATGGTGCTCCAATGGTTCAGCTGCCATTTTTGTCATTTTGGCACAAAAACTAGTATGTTCGGACAACCGGCCGCAGTTGTCCGACCAAACGTCCAGTCAGTTGTCTAAACACACAAGTTTCTGTGTTTTTTCTACAAAAATGGCGATAGGAAAAAGGAAGAGATGTTTTGCTAGGAGAAGGGAGGGAAGGAGGGAGGTGTTGCTTCATAATCTGGCACATATGGCAGTTGGACAAGCTTTGACATTTGCTAAATTTAGCAGTTGTTCTCCCCATCAGAGCACATTTTTCTTCTCTTCTTGCCAAATCAAGGCAACAGCAACTCCAATGGCATTAGAGCTGCTCTAATTAAGGAACATGACGGAACATTGTGTATAATGATTAGTGAAAAAATATGAACATTTATCGTTCTAAGAATATTGAATAATTTTTCATATGATTGTATCATCAAAGAGGATAAAGAATTATTAGTAAAAAATCATATTTCGGTGTTTAGCATGAGAAGTTAGTTGTTAACATGTCCCCTAGAGGTACTTGATAAGAAAGTTCAAAAGTATTTGCATATTTTTTATAAATAACACTTGAGAAGTTATTGGGTCGTTTTGAACCACTACGCCACATCATTCATTGAGAATCGTTTGTCTAATTGTTTCTTAAAAAGAGGCAAAAAGATGGTAGTTGTTACTATTTTAACCAATAAAAATCAAGTTGAACCATTACATCAACATATTCTAGAAGCAAAACATAATCTTCTATTTAGCATAGGTATGTAGAGATAGTTCTATCCTACTCACCAAATTGACGTGGGCTTGACTTTTACATTAGGGATGTATTAGATATGACGTATTATTTATTATAAAAAAATGTATAAACAAATAAATATGTAATGTGCCTGAAATAAGTTAATAAATTAATAAGTAGATTATTTATGTGCTCCCTAAACCAAGCTTGAAACATAATAAAAAAGGGACGGCCGGCTCTGGAGCAAGTTAGCAAAGCCATCGCTTTGGGCCCTTAGATTTGCGCTAAAAATTATGGTCCCAATTTAAAAAGAATTCTTATAATGTTTTTAGGCCTCAATTAAATGAAGGCTTCCAAATTTTTAACATCAAAACTGACTTTTCTTCAACCCTCAACACCAAACTCAAAAACAAAATTATTTTTATAAGTGAATGGTTCCAATTACTTTGATTTCAACTTACCAAAACCTAACTAGATTTAGCACTTCATATTAAACCAAAAAACAACACAATTTTATTAATGAATGGACCAAAGTAATAGATTTCACTTTACCAAATTCCTCTCCAACTTAATTCATCATTATGAGATTGAACTTTTTAAATCTTAATATTCTCTCCAAATGCTTTTAGATTTTGTATTTTAAGTTTTACTTCGATTGTTTGTTGGCTTTACTTAAAAATTGAAATCCATAGAATTACATTGATTGTTGTTTGTTAAATAATGGAATGCATTGTTTTGTAATCATACTTCCAAGAAAGTATAGAAGAATTAATTGAATCACAATTACGAGTTATTGGTTCAATTTTGTAACAAAAAATGCAAGAACAGTAATGCTTAAGGGATGTAGTGATATAATTCATTCATTTTTTTTTTCTATCATAGTTCTAAATTTTTGCACAGTATTTTTTTCTTGGGTAAATTGTTAGATATAAACAATAATATTAAATTTTATCCTTTAAAATTTTTGTAATAAATTTTTAAGTTGATTTTTTTTTTTTTTGAGTGACATGAAGAAATGTAAGGTCTCATATTGAGCGTTCACTTTAGGTTCCTGAATGTTTAGAGCCGACCCTGAAAAAAAGAAGAGGTTAATGGGGTTTATGTGTTTGAGATTTATTTATTTGGTGAAATAATTTTTTTTTCGTCTTCAATAAAAATATTTCAAAAAAATTTAAGTTTTTAGATTCTTCACCAAGAAGAATTGAAAATTGAATTTTTAAAAAAAATGAGAAAAGACAAAAAAAAATCTATATAATAAGTCACAAAAGTTTTTGAAAATGTCTAAAATGTATGAGAGATACATTTCATTTGGATGACTCAGATAAATCCTAAGTGTATATCAATGGTTTAGATCAACGGGTGGTTCCCGCCCAACACATTTTGTAACGCCCTCAAAATAAACCCATAAATCATACATTCAAGACATCCATAAACTTAAGAGAGTGAAGCATAATTCTATTTATCAGAGTATTCATTACAAAAGTATTACATGTTGACATCAAAAGTAAATGTCTTACGAGCTTACAACTTTCCAAGCCAGCACTTGGTTACAAAAAGAGAGTACTAACTCAAAACACAAAATACCCTTGGCTTGATTTACATGTAATACACAAAATAATCACAAAAAGGAAGCCTTCAGCTTCTACAACCTCCCAAGCTACATCCTCGGAGGTGGCATATCACCTGTACCTGAAAATGATGTCCCATATAGGGTGAGCCAACACCCAGTAGAGATATGCTACTCATAATATGAGCGATAACTAAAACATTAGCATTTGATAAATGTTTAACTCATACAAACCAACGTACAACACAATCCAATTCCATGACAGATATGTCCATATTTCTTTTCACTTTTCGTTACTAATCAAACTTTCAATTCATAACATGGCTCAGAACCTGGCCAATAATTTAATGAGATTACGACTCATATTTAAGCACTTCCTTTTTAAATGAGATAACAACTCATATCAAAACACTTCCATACTTCACAATAGATACACATATTTGCTGTATCAATGTCATATTAAAACACTTCCATACTTCATAATAGATACACATATTTGCTGTATCAATGGAGTCCATCCCCTATCTCCTTCCAAATAATATCCAGTTTGGGAGTTCATCCCCTATCTCCTCCCAAACCGTGGAGTACATCCCCAATCTCCTCCAAAACAATACAATGTATATAAACACTTATCATATACAATAATCAATCAATACACATATTCGATGTATTATTCCAACCATCATATTCAATGACATATTCAACGTGATTAGTTTCAGTTTTCCCTAATCAACATACAGTGTCTACAACAATCAAGACTCTTCTCCACCGATAGCCCAAAGTAGGGGTTTGCAACGGATCTGCCGACCCGCCTCATCCGCCCAACCCGACCCGAGGCACAACGAACGGAAGTGTGACACCTGGCGGATGGATGCGGGCCTAGAAATACCAATTTCGCGGGTGCAAGTCGGGTCGCTGGTAATCCGCCAATTCTATTGATTTACCCGATCTGCCTGCCCATACTAATTTTCCTTTTTTTCGCCCAGTCTTGCCTTGCCCCTGTTTTTTTCATTTGAGGTTTGTAGCCCTAGGTTTGTTCAACGACTATGTCTGTCTCTCTCTTTCTCTCTCTCACTCACACTTGAACGGAGGAGACGAGAAACAGTCGACGTCGATGACAATGTGTGACAACCCTCACCACTGTTTACTGATAATACCGATGATTACTGCTAAACTGTGACTGAACATGATTAAGTAACTGATTTGACTGACATTTTGAACTGATTGATTGAGTGTAGTAGTTTAAACGCATTTATATCTGTTTGACTGTTAATTGATCTGTTCATGTTTTATGTTTTAAACTACAAATTGAAGGCCTTATCGGCGGCCGAATCCGAAACTGATTAGTGTTTTATGCTAATTAGAATTTATGTGATTTTATGGTATGTTTAATTGAAATTTGATTCAGAATGATTAAATTAGATTAAATAATGGTAAATTACATTAGTTGGCTTATTTACCAAAATGTCACTTAGTGGGCCACTTTATCAAACTCTGTCTAGAGCTTGATTTCATGTCATTTGCTTATCTTTGAGAGACCAAAATCGTAGGAGAGAGTGAGAGAGGAGAAGTTTGGTTTCATCTAGAGAATTACTTGGAGAACTTGAAGAATTGAAGAGTAGATTACACAATTGAGCTTCCATTCTTGAAATTGAGGACTTGAGGTAGGAGACTCACCCTTTTAATTGTGAGTTTGAGTTGTTCTTGCATGATTCATGGTAAAGATAGTGATTTA